CGGTAGTAGTCCGCCTTCATCTTTTGGTAGAAGACCTCAGAGAAAGTATGTACACCAAGGTGGGAGACTCGCTCGTTGCAAGACCCTGAAAAAACAGTCACCTTCTTCTGTCTGCCACGGAAACTGAAGTACTGAACCTACAAAACCACAAACTTTAAAAAAAAAAGTCACAACCCATGTATTCCCTTCAAAGGGTTACCAACATCCTATAATTTTGGTTCTTACTACGTTTGCTATTAGAGGTAGTATTGCAGTACTATCATTACTCGCATTACTGTTATCACCACCCAAATTTAAACCCCAAAATACTATAGTCCTTCTTATGCGGATGCAGCGGACGCACCGCATGGCACCCCTAATTTTGGGAAACCCCTTTAAACCCTAAACCTAATCCCCTAACCCTAAACCCTAAACCCTACATCCTAAACTCTCAACCCTAAATCCTAAGCCCTAAACCCTAAACCCTAAACCCTGAACCCTAAACCCCAAACCCTAAACCCTGAACCCTTACCCTCAACCCTCAACCCTAAACCCTCAACCCTAACCCTAAGCCCTAAACCCTTACCTGTATTTCTTACTCCTGGACCTTGGACTCGCCGCTGCTAGCCTTGGAGATGAGTTTGCCATCCAGGAGTGCAAGAATGGTGTCGCAGATGGACTGCAACTCATCCTCTAGGGGTCTAGGGCTTTAGGGGTTTTAGGGGTTTAGAGGGTTGGAGGGTTTGGGGGGTTGGGGGGTTTAGGGTTTGGGAGTTTTAGGGGTTTAGGGTTTAGGGGTTTAGGGGTTCGGGGGTTTGGGTTTAGGGTTAGGGTTCACGGTTTTTGGGGGGTTTAGGGTTTTAGGCGTTTAGGGTTAAGGGTTTAGGGGTTTAAGGCTTAGGGTTTGGGGTTTAGGGTTTCAGGGTTTAGGGTTTGTGGGGTTTAGGGGTCTAAGGCTAAGGGACTGCAACTCGTTCTCGAGCGGTAGTTTCCAAAAAGTGGGGGATACAAGGACCCCCAAAAAGTCGCCCGGTTTGACTGCAACTCATCATCGAGTGAAATGATTTTACTGCTAATGAGCGTATTGATTAAGAATGGTAATACTAGTTTAATAATAGTAGTAGCAGTATGAATACTACTAATGAGGATCATAGCAATAATAATGGTAATACGACTAATGACCTTAATAGTTTTAATTCTAATAGCAATAGTAATACTATTAATACGAATATCACAGACCGAATAATACTAAGAATATAAAAAACCATAGCAATGGGTCATTCCCCCTGACAATAACAATTATCACCATGGGTCGATAACATATGGTGTATATGGGGATCTTATTATAATATACCCAAAGCCATAGTCTGTCTACTTAACGGAGACTATACGTTATCCAGCGCCTTCATCTGAAATACCTGGGCGGTCACTTGCTACTGGCCTGAACGGCCTAGAAATGAAAGAGCGGCCTCGATGAACAGAACAGGGCTTCTTCCAACAACACAAAGGATGAGCAAATCACCGCTCCACCGACCGGTCCTCAACCTTCTTGCAGTACTCCTTGGCATAGGCGGCGTTCTCTGTGTTGCCCTTTGTAGTCTCCTTCTGCATAACGCTGGTGATGATACGCCAGGCTGCACGACGAGAGCCCACGGTGTTCTTGTAGGCCACGGACAGCAGGTTACGTTCCTCGACCTCTGCTGCGCTTGAGACCCCCGACATTTTCAGGGGGTCACCTCTGTATACTGTCCACAAAAAAAGAATCTCTCATAAGAGGCCCCTGATATTGAGACATTTCAAAATTCAGCGCTCAGCAGCAGAGAGCTCCGAGTCCGCTCCGCCCACGTTCTTCATGTGTTCGGCCATCTCGTCATAGCGCTCAGCCTGCTCTGCAAGCTTGGCGAAGTACACGTCCTCCCGGGCATTCCGCATTCTTGCCATGATCTTTGGTAGTTAAGTTGTGATGGTGAAATCACAGGGAAACCAGAAACTTCATGTTGTACCCAGATTGTGCCTATTAAGTTCCTTTAACAGCAACGCAGATTGTCCTTCTCACGAGGTGGCATGGCTGCGAAGGCACAAAGGCAGGCAGCGAGTAGCAAATCGATCGAGTCGAACACGATGCTGTGGCTTGAGACAAAAAGTGGATACGCAGGTTGCCGAGGGTGTAGGGATAAGGAACCCAAGCAAAGGAAAAACCGCAGAATCCGCAACAAAGCTTAGCACCAACCCTGAACTGAAGCCACCTGACAGCCTGCCAAGAGGACAACACGGCAATCATTCAAAGCATTATCTGTAAATGACCTCATGGCCAAAGCCTCATTGAAAGCAGCGTGCAGTAAACCAAAAACCTCAAAATTCCGGTGCAGGCTGCCCACCGTATAGTACAGAAGCCCGTGATGTCACTGTATAGGGTTTTCGGATGTGTTTGGTTGGTGCCTAATTATTTGGAATAATGCTGTTGCATGGGGGGAGAGGGGGGGGGGGGTGGTAATCTTACTTTGAACGTAAAAACCCCTCTAAGCCCCTGACCTGTGTTGGTCAGAAAATGTCAGAAAGCAAAAACCAAATTGGAATCATGGCAACAATCCCGAACCAAGTTGCTACAAAAGCCTTCAGAATTCTGTACACAGATTTCCTTGGAAAAACACCGGTGAGCACCAGTATGTGGACTCCATTCCTCACGCCTGAATCCTGCACCCTGAACCCCTAAGACCTAGAAATCCTAAGTCTACCTTCTTAATCACATTGTCACATAGCTTGTAAAAGAAAAAAAGCCTCAATGATTGGGGTCAGATGTGTCAAAAAGCCAGCCTTGAAAGAAAACAATAGTTATTCCCGGCTATGATGGCCTCTACATGAACCTATCCCAGCTTGTTGCTTTCCAAGCAACTGCCGCGTCGGCGACTTGTCGCGCTGCTGCCGCTCCTCCCAAAAGCTTGACAGCTGGATTTGGCTTCTGCTGTGGGGCTTATGGCCGCTGATGTTCCTCAACCCCGAACCCTCGCTGAAATGTGAATCGCCCGAACAAGTCGAAAGCCCTCGCTGCTCCCGCTCTCTTCGCAGCTGAAGGGATCCACTCATGGAGTGGTTGCCTGGGCGACTCTTCAGGATTCATGGATCGGTTTGAGGTTCAGAGCAGCAAGCTAATTACAGCAAGGCTGGCTGCACCAGCGCAAAAAGGCCCAGGATGAAAAAAAACATGTGTACTTCCAAAGAGTTTCAGAAGATTTTGCAGCTCAATGTTCTAGGGTTCTTGCACCACGTGCTGTTGGAAGTTTCGGGTCCGCGGTTCAAGAAGCTGCCCCGTCAATCACACAAAGAGTTATGATCAAGACTTTCGCAGTTACCAAGACGATGCACAAATGCCCAAGCGCCCGAAGGCCAAATTTAGCTGGTCCGTGAACCTAGGCCCCTGTCTACATGAGAAGCCCAATCTAGAATACTGGCAGTTATGAAAGATGAGTAGATTTTCTGAAACGCGAAGTGGAAGGGTTGTCGTTTGAAGGTGTGGGATTCTGGTCAGGAACTTCGACACGAATTCGTCGTCACCCCATCCACAAGTGTTCGCAAGCGCCCGCAAGCGCCCGCCAGCGCCCGCAAGTGGCATCAAGCGCCCGCACTCGTCCGCAAGCATGCGTCCGCGAATCCCAGGCTCTGGAATGGCGAAACCCCGCATGAGGGAACCGAGCATCGTGCCGAGCATCGTGGTCGGTCCTGGCATGAGACTCCACATTAGGCATTGAAGCCGATTTTCCACAGGCCCCTCTGCACCTGGTGCAAACCTCTACCTGTGGTGCGCTGCAGGCTTGCGCGAATGGTGGGAGGTCGTGAGGCGTACCGAAAGTGACGCGTAATCGCATTCGGGTTCGTGGCTTCTATCCGGCTCTCAGAACACCATCTCGCTCCTGCACCCCATAAAAAAGAAACAGTCCGTTCTAACGAACTCCAATGGAGAAGCCCTATAATTACATGTTGGGTACTGCCCCCATCCTGTAAGAATCTATGAAAAGTCATGCTAAGAGCTATATATTGCCATACGATTCATATTATCCAACTGTTACAGAGTGGGGGCAATACCCAACCTACATGTCCCTAGAAACCTCTGCAATTTAAATCCTCTCCGCTATCCAGCATGAATCTGCCAAACCCAAGCTGCTTGGGGACTGTTGCATCTTCGCCCGCGACTCCTGGCTTAGGGCTGCGTGGAGTCGTTGAGGGGTTTGGGGATTTGGTAGGCGGATTGGGGATTTGGGATGAGCTGCTTGTAGTCAAGAATTCAGGCTCAAGGCTATATAACTTCATAAACGAAACTCTATAAAGCATTCGCCATGGCAAAGAGGGCGCACCGCTAACCTCGTCGCCACTACCACTGCCGCCGCCTCCGCCTAACACCAGCAAGAACGACAACCCCACCGCCGCCGTCGAAAGGGTTGACAAAGTGAAGCCCGAAACCGTTGATCTTCAAGCCCTCGAATCCCTAACTTATGTTCTCTAAGCCTTACCTAAAAATCACTAAAACCTGAAACGCTTTCGTCATCCGTCCGTAGAGGCCACAGAAGACACGGAGTTCACGTGGCCGCGGCTGGAGTTCCTCGGGACATCAAGGATTCTTTGTGTAATTGGGGTGTACCCAGGATTACCCAGGGAGCCTATAACTGTCCTTATCAAGGAATGGAAAAGCGTGATGACCTGAGTCGTGCTGCTTCCACCCGGGCAAGACAGGAAACGATGTCAATCTACGAGGGCGAGGGTTGGCAAAAAAATGGCAAAGGGGGGCCTGACAGAGCGGTGACGATGTGGCACTCTGGATGTTCTCAGTGCGAGCTAGGATACCAGCACTTTTACTTTTATCCGTACGAACCCAGCTTAGTAGGACAATGCAAGAGCCGCTCCATAGGCCAACATAGCATCACTTATCGCAGATAGCAGACAGGTCGATTTCAACAATACTTGGAGGAAAAGTAGCATCGACTGTCGTCCTCATCATCTTCCAAAGAATGATACATCTCGCCAGAAAAAAAAGAAGGGGAAGTTTACGGCTGCTATGGACGTGACAAGGAACGATGGAGGCCGAAAGGCAAAATATGACGACTTCTGACCGTTTGCTCCTTGTCAGTTTTGGGGTCCGCAAGGCAGAACCCTTAAGATGCTGAGGCTTCAGGGTTTAGGGTTTAGGGTTTAGGGTTTAGGGTTTAGGGCTTAGGGTTCGCCCTCGCCAACCCTGTCCGGATACTACTGCTACTGGATACCTTATACAAACCAAATGCCGCAACCCAAACAACAACAACAATCCATATGTCCTCTCATGTATCTCTGTGCATCCTACATTGCCCCCCAAGGTCCCCTAGATAACTTCCATACAACCCTGAATCCCGAACCTGAACCCTAAACTCTAAGCATTATTTCAATTTTCATGTTCTTTCCATATGAGCTATAATCTAAACTCCTAGCATCTCCCGTAAAAACCCTCCCAATATAATCCCTATATAACCCTCTTTGAGGATTAGACTATGGCTCGTTACTCGTTTCCTTCCATTACATCTGCCGGGACGCAGGACGCGGCTCCCCGTGGCAGGCCGCTCACGGGCTGCAGGAGGTCCGGAATGCCTGACCTGCGCCTGCACCACCCACCTGAGGCTTAGAGGGTTATATATAATAAGGCTTAAGGCTTAGGGTTGAAGGCTTAAGCTTTATGGTGTATATTTAGGAGTATAGAGGGTTATCGCCGGGTATAGAGGGGTAGATAGGGATATCAGGGCACAGAGGGGTAGACACGGATGTTTAGGCAGGGATATATAATATAGGGATACATACGGATGGGGATACCTGACGTGAAACATATCTGCTCTGATCTATCAGATGGACGGTTTGTAAAGGGCCTGGTTTATGAGCTTTGGAGCCCAGGGTTTGGGAGTTTTGGGCTTAACTTCGCTCCGGGGCCTACTGGGAGCTCTTCACACAATTTTCAAGAGCCGTTCTGATGACCATCACTCGTAACGATAGGATTACCAAAAAGACATGGCTGTATCCGCCTGGGCTTGTGGGGCTTGTTCTGATTGATGAAAATATGTGCCTTTCTTCCAGGCACTACACTCCTTGTCTCTGGTTCTTCCTGATAAGTAACAAACACTGGCCTGGTCGCAAGGCCTTTGGAAATCAGTAATAGCAGCGGAAATAGTGGGTGGGTTGCCATTGTTTTCTGCGTTGCTCGCTGTTGGGAAAAAACAGTCGGACCTGGAAATTCTCGCTGGTATATTTCAGTTTGTCGCGTCTGGCAGGGTGCTGGCCGTTATTCAACACACCGCTGAATATCCCCACATCATGATTACTGGCACAGCGGCCACCCCCATTCTCATCCATAATAGCAAAAAACTCCCTCCCACCGGTAACCCTGGGCCCAAAGCCACATAAGGATTTTGACAAATTAGGGGTCCTTGTTCATCCCTTTCCTGGGGGATACCTCTAATGAGGGTTATGGTACAGAAGCGCTGGGTCTGGGAATTACCCATATCATATCATGCCCTCACATTAGTGGGGCCCTTTTCTACCCTTCTTGTTCCCTTTCCTTCTTGTTCGCCTCGATGAGGCTGCATATTGGAACTCTCGGGGGCTCCAATGACTGTCAACTCCAGAGCAAAATTCAAAACGTGCATCTCCTCGTCATCCAAACTCCAAAGTATGAGGCCCTCCTACTCTGCATCATCTCCCAAATGCCAAAGCTTCTCGCCATGGAGGGCAAGGAGGGCGCTAGACCTTTAGCCAGAGAACCACGGCACATCTCAAGTACAAGCAAAGCCGCAAGTGGATGTCGTTGGGTATTGTTGGCGACAGCACCACCACGTCGTCCCCATCCTTGGGGTTACGCCCAGTGAGGGCTCAGGTCAAGGCTAGGCTAGGGCTCCAGTGAAGCGCTTGGGAATTCAAGGCATAAGGAATCG